GTCTCTACTAGGCTTGTAAACAGAGAGCTGCCGGGCCTCAAAGTTTGGAGACGGGGGGAGCCAGGAAGCACGTTATAAAGAGAGTCAAACCATTACAAACTCATACAAGGGGATAAAACAGATGTTTTACATGGTGAAATGTGACTGATGAAAACTTAGGAGCTTAATCCAACACCAGTTTGACGATGAATAACGTCAGGTGACGAATCTGACTTTTTTTATTTTATTTTTCACATTGGACTCCACCGAGAAGAAATCCTGTGCATACTACCTGCTTAAATGTTCACTACGTCAGAACTTATTCTGTAAATGTGTTTCCATCTCTGCTTTTTCGCATTAACTCTTACAGGATGGGGGAAATTTGCACTCTCCGGGTGCTTCTAGTTTGTTTTGAAATAATGTCCAAAAATGTCTCATCTAATGAAAATAGCTCAAATTGAAATCTCAACCTCTACTGTTTATTAACCAAATCACGTGTTGAAATATCACAGTAAACCTATTGCTTAAATGTTTGCACAATTTTTGACATGTATTCAGAGTTTTCCACTTCAGACATATTTGATGAAAAGTTTTATATTTACTGTCTATGTCCTTCATGTTTTACAGAAAGCTTTAGTCATTTAACCTTCATAGCTTTATTTTCTTTAAATCTAAAAACTTCAGATTTTCAATTCTAAAATCACTGCTCTGATTTGTCATTGAGTGAAGTTGTAAGTACTAAGAAGAATGGCAAATCCACAAGAATCTAGGGTGAATATTGCTTTTCTCAAAATAAAGGACAACATTTACTATTAATTTTAGACCGATTTACTCAGCCGTCCTGAACAATGAGGACTTTATTCTGCTGGTAACCCTGAAAAAGGATGACACGTTAAAAAGATAATGCATGTGAAGTATAAGAAAATTTATTTACATTCAATAGATGCTTGATTGCATTTGATTTAAATGGGAAAAAATTGCATTTATGATGTAAACAGCCGCTGAAATTACAGCTGAGGGCTCTCTGAAATACAACCCATAAAAAGGAGTTTGTTTCTGTCTGACAGGTGTCGTTCTTTCCTTTGTCCTTCAGCAGGAGCTGCTTCTGCTTTTATCCTTGACTTGTAAATATTCCAGTGATCCCTTTTAATGTTTTCGGTCTACATGGCCCTAGATGGGACTTGCAGAGGGCAGAACAGGAGAACTCCCCATTGTGTCCTTATAATGGTATTCATTTGTCACCCCCTCCCCAAGCCAGAGGTCGTCTGTGGCTTATCTTCTGTCCTGGGGTGAGGATCCTTAACAGACATCCTCTCTAAAAACGGACAGGCGCTGTGATGCACATTCGTTTATGGTAGCAGGTGCAGAATCTCCTAGATACTTTATTTGTCTGGGGAGCGGCTGACACCCCCACCCCCCTGCCCTCCTTTTAGGTTTACTGCAGGGCCGTGTGGAACACGTCGGCTGATTATGAGCAGTGACAGGAGAGATTATGGGAAATCAGATAAAGTGGCCTATTTTGGAGAATGCCTCGAGATTCCAGATCTTTACGGTTCTGCTCATGAGCGTCAGAGCAGAGAGGAGGGGGAGGGCTGGAAATCCCTCTGATAAACCCCCACTGCGGAAAAGCGAGCTGCACATTTGTGTCTTTCAGCTGAGTAACTGAGCCCTGCTGTGTTCACCTGCTGTGAACCGGCTCAGTAGATGGCTGTTTAAGGATGTGGAACTTCTACAAATTGAACTTTTATTAACTTTAAATAGATAATTAGTGGTATCATCACTGTTCTGTTCATTTTTTCTTACCTGACTTATGAGGGCAATAGTGTTGTGTGTATCTATCTGTTAACAAAATATTCAATAAACCAGTTGATGGATTTTAATAAAATCATAGTTAACATTGGATCTACATCTATGGGTCCGACTGATTAAATTTTAGTATCAGCTTAATTTAAGATAGTTGCCACTTCTACGCAAACTTAGACAAAACAAAAAATGACCTTCTTGCTGAGAGACAACAGTTTTACCAACTCCTCCTTCATGCTTCCTTTGATAAAACTTTCAGGACATAATCAATGGATGCACATGTACAACTGATTAACTTTTGGGCTTTTTAAGTGCCCGACAGCTACTCAACCTTAGCAAACACGAATCGGCTATAATAGTCATTTCTACAGATAATAACGTGGTTGTAGCTGACGCTCATTCACACCAGACTCTGAATGCTAATATATTTTGTGGGATCTTACATGAAACTGAAGAATTTTTTTCTTCTTTCTGCCGCCTTTCATTTTATTTGTGATTTGTATTTTTATTGTATATAAATT